CTTTCGCTTAGGTCATGATCTCGCGGTTCGTGGGTTCGGGCCCCGCGTCGGGCTCTGTGCTGACTGCCAGCTCAGAGCCTGGAGCCTGTTTCAGTCTGTGACTCCCTCTCTCTCTGACCCTCCCCTGCTCACACTGTCTCTCTCTCTCCTAGAAATAAATAAAAACATTTAAAAAAATTAAAAAAAAAAATAAAGTAGGGAACCCGGGGGTGGGCTGGGGGTCGCCTGGGTAGCTGGTTAAGCATCTGACTTCAGGTCAGGTCATGATCTCATGGTTTATGAGTTCAAGCCCCATGTCTGGGCTCAGAGCCTGGAGCCTGCTTCAGATTCTATGTTTCCCTCTCTCTCTGCCCTCCCCTGCTCACACTCTGTCTGCCTCCCTCTCGCTCTCAAAAGTAAATAAACATTTAAAAATAATAGAAGTTTAAAAACTTGTAAAGTAGGGAATCCAGGGATGTTGGCTGGCTCAGTCAATAGGACATGTGACTCCTGATCTCAGGGTCCTGAGTTTGAGCCCTATGTTAAGCATGGAGCCTACTGATGAAAGAAAGGTAGAAAGAGAGGGACAGAGAGAGGAAGGAAGGAAGGAAGGAAGGAAGGAAGGAAGGAAGGAAGGAAGGAAGGGAGAGTGGGAGGGAGAAAGGGAGTAAACCCAATTTGGCCTAGTAATGATGAAAAAAGTTCCAAAATACTTCTGTCATAAGACATTGTCTTGAATATTGCTAATATTTTACCCAAAACTTTATTATTTACATGCTGGAGTTTGCAAGGTTAGCCATTACAGGGTTCTTAACTGAGCATAGAAAATCTGAATAACAAAGTCCTGGATAGCTATCACAAAACAAAAGGCAATTTAAGGCAGGCTTGGGCCTTGTCTTATGAGGCATTTCCTCACAGATCTGATTTATCCCTCCTCTCCTTAAACTCATTAATCTTAAGCTCCTTAAACTTAACACTTTAAGCTCCTTAAATTTTTTTAATGTTTTATTTATTTCTGAGAGAGAGAAAAAGAGACAGCATGAGCAGAGGAGGGTCCAAGAGAGAGGGAGACACAGAATCTGAAGCAGGCTTCAGGCTCCCAGCTAGCTGTCAGCACAGAGCCCGACGCAGGGCTCGAACCCGCAAACCATGAGATCATGACCTGAGCTGAAGTCACACGCTCAACCAACTGAGCCACCCAGGTGCCCCAACACTTTAAGCTCCTTAAACTGTTACACTAGTACAGCATTTATCAAGCATGCAGTATATTGTTGGGAATCCCAGTCAGTTTAAGGATACCAATAACAAACTACTAAAAGATATGGAACCCCAGTTATGAGCATTAGAAGGGTCTTAGCATCAGGTAGAGCATCAGTACTCACATTTCACAGAGAGGTTAAGTGATTCATGTGAAATCTCAAAAACACCAGGGACTAGATTCTCCCTTGAGTCTATACTCCCAGGGTGCTTGGGTGGCTCAGTCGGTTGAGCATCCAACTTTGGCTCAGGTCATGATCTCACGGTTCGCAGGTTCAAGCTCCTCTCAGCACAGAGCCTGCTTCAGATCATCTGTCCCCCTCTCTCCTTGCCCCCCCCCCATTTGCACACACACTCTCTCAAAAATAAACATTTTAAAAAATAAAAATAAATGCTTGTATTTCAGACATAAGAAAAGCAGCTTGAAATTCCTTCTCACCCTTCTTTCTACTCTATGGTCAAGTATCCATGGGAAGTACTAGCTATATCAAGCCCATCCCCTACTTACTAAAGCATGTTGCTTGCCTTACATTGAGGCACTACTAAAATGAGTAATAAATTGCTATTGCCATCAAGAATTTCAGTATAGAATAAAAGACAACTGCAAATACAAACGTAGATTGAATATCAGAAGGTCCAAAGTGCAAAGAAGTTCAGAAAAGGAATGCATTCACATCAACTGCAGTGATTAAGAAAGGCTTAAGGGTAGTATTTGAGATAAGGCTTGAAATAATAAACAGGATTTTGACAGTAAAGAATGAGGAAAGGGTATCTCAGTCTGATTAATGCATAGAGTTCAGGTGTTTGCAAATTTTTCTGCCCGTGATACAGTTTATAAACATTTCCCACACCACTGCACCCACTTCCGAGGGAATAGGTAAACTAGGCTGCCTGTCATACACAATCCCCAATGACCCCCTCCCTCTCTCACTTCCAGGAACATATATTAGCATGCAAATGAGTGAGAATGATCTTATAATAGATAATCTTCAGTCTGCTTTAATTTTTAAAGAAAATCACTTGCTAAATTTAATATAGTTTTTCATCAAAAATTGCTTGCTACATCCCACAATGGAAGGTATAACAGGTTAAGAACCACCAATGTGATGGGAAGTAAAGGTGAGGAACATTGGTCAGAACTATCCCTGGGTGATCTGGAGTACAAACCACAGCATTTAAGTAGTATAGAGAAATGATTCAGGCTGCATCTGGGAAGATTGCTCTAGAAGCGTGGAGAAAGGAATAGCACGATTAGGAAGTTATTGCAAAAGTCCCAGTTACTTAGAGGCAATAGAGGCCTAAATGAAGATGATACTGGAAAAAGATGATTGAATTGAGAAATATGACAAATATAGAAGATAAGCTTTGTGAGGTCAGAGGTCTAACTTGTTACTTTTGTATCTCTAGTGGTCTTTAGCTCAATAACTATTTGTTGAATGGATAAATAAGATCTTGGTAGCAAGGCAATAATGCTATTGTGGTGTAGCCAGAATGCCTGAGTTCAAATTAAGGTCTTCCATTAACCAGTTCTATGACCTTGGGTAAGTTAACTTGACCTCTCTATGCTTCAGTCTTCCCATCTATTAAATGGGGCTAATAATGGTTTCTAGATCATAATAGGGAGGTTTGTTTTTTAATGTTTATTTATATTTCTGAAAGAAAGACAGAGCATGAATCAGGGCAGGGGAGAGGGAGAGACAGAATCTAAATTGGGCTCCAGACTCTGCTGTCAGCACAGAACCTGATGCAGGGCTCCAACTCATGAACTGAGAGATCATGAACTGAGCTGAAATCAGGTGCTTAACTGACTGAGCCACCCAGGTGCCCCTATCATAGGGTAATTTTGAGGATTAAATAAAGTGGAATGCTTAGAAGAATACATGACACACATACCTGCCATATAAAAGTAGCTATTATTGATAAAACATTGTATCTTTAACGTAACTTCAGAAGTGAGAAAAAGTTTACGGGTAAGGATACAAAGAGTGTTCAGTTTGGCATTTAGTGGAGCTACCAGATAGGGCTTGGAAGCTTGGGGGAAAGTCTTAGACTGAGGAATCTGTCTCTTGCCACTTCCCCGTGCTCCCCATACTCCTCCATCTCCCACCAAGATCCAGTCACACTAGCCCCTTACAGTTCCTCTAACAGGTCAGTTTTTCCTACCTCACGACCTTCTTTCCCACTGTTACTCCCTCAGCCTAGAAGGATATAGAGCCTAGACAAATATGTAATGATTTAATAGAATTTGACACTCTTTTAAAAGTTAAATCCCTACGAATGTATAAGATGGTCAGGTAAGAAAGCAAGGGGGAAGAAGTTAAAGGAATGAGCACAGAAAAGAGGAACTAGCAATTACAAAGGACTATCCAGGGAGATAACCAGGACAATTGGAATGAAGTTTTAAGGAGATGGGTAATGCTCTAAATGCTCAGAGGAGGAAAGGAAGGTAAGAACTGAAAGATAACTGGATTTGGCACTAATTCCGAGGAAGAACGCTGAGAAAAGTAATTGTCCACTATATTGAGAGGGGAAGGCAGCAGAGGTCAGATAAATAAAGCAACTAATATAAACTGATTTACCAAAAATGTTTGATAAAGAAGAGAAGCAGAGTGCACAACTGACTGCTTTTAGGATTTGGGTGGGAATTTTTGCTAGGAAGATAACAAGTAACAGTGGAGTGGCAAACTAAGATACGAACAGGGAATAAAAACGTGAGGCTAGATCTTGGAGACAATGTGCATCTCTCTTTGCAGTTTTATAATGTCCCCAGTGCTTTTCACACACAGTACGTTGTCCCTCAGCTCTCTGATGATACACCCTCTAATACAGTGGTTCTCAAAACTGTAGTCCCGTGCTCGCTTCGGCAGCACATACACGAAAGTGTAGTCCCTAGACCAGCATCATCAGCATCAGAGGGAACTTGTTAGACGTGCACATTTTTGAGTCCTACAACGGATCTACATAATCTGTGCGGGTGAGACCCAGCAATCTGTGTTTTTAAAAGTCCTCCAAGGGATTCTGAAGCTCTCCAGGTGAAACGACAAAAGACCGCGGCAAGGAGCAGCGGCCACAGTAGGAGGGCAGAATTTTCTTCGGAACCGTCTGGTTCTCCCAACCTCCTGAGAGGGGCAGTGCACGACCCAAGCCAGCCAGCACCGCAAAGCAAAGTCGCCCCGCTTCGGACTAGCCTGAGCGAGCTCTACCAACCCCAATGGGAGCGGAGATCAGCAGAAGACCCTTGGCCACACTCGGCCACCGCCCTAGAAGGCGCCTAAGTGCACCAAGCTCTCCAGCTTCGACTTCCGGCAGTAGAGGAGGGGGGTCTACCGGGAGGGACTCCGGGCGGACGTGTCCAAGTTCTTCAGGGTTGGCGGGGGTGGGAAGCGGGGTATTTGTTCTTCTAACCCCTCCATATGCTACGAGGCCGCAAGGGGCAGAGAAGGTAGAAAGATAGGCTAGTCTAGGATAAGTTTCCGGAAAACCTGGAACCCAGCAAAGGAACAAAGGAGCCTTGAAAATCCTCCTCCCTCTTCTTTCCTAGTTTCCTACCCCGAGCCCCAAGGAATGGAAAAGGCGAGGCTCAAGGCCTCGACTGGGAGGGACGCGGGGAGGACGCTAGAGGCAGAAATCTCGCGATAGGAGTCCGGCCGGGGCGGGGGTGACACCTCTTCCCTCCTCCTCGCGTTAGTTCCGGTCGCAGAGGAGACACAGCCGCAGTTGCCGCCACCTCGGGGATTTCTGGCTCTTTTCTCTTCGCCTTAAAGTCGGTGAGGCGCGACGCTCGCTTGTCCCGGGACGAGGTTGTGGCCTCGAGTCGTAGGACAGGGCGCGGGGGTGGAGAGGGGTGGGGGGACGGTCAGGTCTGGTACGACCCGGCTTGAAGGGTTCGAGCCGAGGCCGCTGCCTGAGCCCAGGCCGGATCCGGGGCCTGGATTCGAGGGCCACGGCCGCCGCCTCCGCAGGGAGGTCGAGGGTCTGCGGCCGGGACTGGGACGTCGGGCGCGGGGTGCGCTGCGGCACTGGAGACCGAGGCAGGGCCCCCTGCGGCCTTGCCCGGCCTGGGTAACAAAGCCGCTGCGGCCTCTGTTGGGTGATGTACGCGTGGGGGGTTCTGGCGGGAGGGGCGGGGGAGCCGCCACCACCTCTGCGGCCGCCTCCACCGCCGCTGCTTTCGCTGGAGGGCAGGCGGATGTACGGGGCGGCGGGGCCCCCGGCGCGAAGCGCCTCGGCGCCTGTGGTCCGCTCGTTGCGGCGGCCGCCACCACCGGCGACGGGGTCAGTGGGGAAGGGGCCACGGGCCAAGAGCTCGCCCTTGCGGCGCCCCGCAGTAGCCGAGGGGGTCCCGGTTGGGGGCGGGTTATCTCGTTCGAGCGGCAGACACAGGAAGGGTGTGGATAGCGAGACACGTGCCCGGGGAGGAGACTTGGATTGCAGGGTATGGGGCAAAGGAGGCTACGCCGGCTCTCGATTCATTTTGCAGGCTGGAGTGGTGCAAGCGGCCGCTGCAGTCACGGGCACAACTTGGTAGGGTGGTGCTGCTCCTAGGCCCACAGTAGAAAGGATTTCTCCTTTGACGGTGTCTGAAAATTGACGTACACGTTTCGGATACCTCCTGGGAATGGTGGTAATCTTAGACTTCTGTGGTGCTTAGAAGTAGTGGAATATGTAGGCGAATTTAAAGAGGAACGAGGAGGAAGCCAGTTAAATGTTTATGATGGGTGATTTGCCACCGGTCACTGTGGTGTTATAAAGTCTTTTAAAAGTGTACTTCATTCACCTTATATCTTCAAAGAGTTCCTCGTAGGGAGAAATGCAGGATTTGTCGTTACATTTAATTCAGGTCAAGGTAATTCTTGGTGTCTGTCCCAGGTACTGCCAGGCTAAAAGTGTTTGTTGTCTTTGATTTCTATTGTAACTAAACCAAGGCTTGATGCTTTGTTTTTAAAACAAAATGTTATGGCCCAGATGTTTTTAAGGCTTTATTTTTCTTTTCTTAGGGTGTCTTTTATGAATAATCAAAAGCAGCAAAAGCCAACGCTATCAGGCCAGCGTTTTAAAACCAGAAAAAGAGGTAAATATGTTTTACTATCTCTCTTCAGACTTCCCAGATAACTTTGATATCTTGGTTTTTCTGGCAGGCAGTTGCTTAATAATAAATCTTTTGAGAGAAAATACCAGAAGGGAACTTGAATTTCTAGTTGACTGCCATTTCAGATAGACTCTTAATATTTTCACTGCTTTTCTAAGCCTTTAGTTTTTAGTATCAATATATATATGTCTAAGGTTAGTGAATGGTCTTTATTGTGAGGATAAAGTACCTTTTTTAAAGTATGGAGTGCATTTTCACTAGCTAAATTTTATTTAATCAGACTTTTGCTTGAGGGAAAAAGTTAATGTATGAAAGGGGAGCTCCTGATGTGATTGCTGATTTTTCCCAAACTTTGTGAAGATTTGTGAGAGAAAAAACAGACTTTATGCATGGAAGCTAATTATGGAACAGAGTTCACATTGTAATATCTTTTGAAATTAAATATTTCTCACAGACAAATATTAGAATTCTGTTAACTGCTTCTATTAGTGGGTAGTTAGGTGAATATTCTGTAACAAGTCACTGTACTAATGATACAAAGTTAAATGAGGTGTGGTCTCAGATATATTTTGTATTGGGCTTAATACTTTCACCAGAATTTTTCAATGTTATTGTTCAAAAACATATATTGACCTTATTTTACAGGAGATTTTGAGGAAATAGAACTGGGTCAGCTACTGGTTATAAACTGTTTTTTCTGCCCTGGGTAACAGACACTTTGAGATATATATTACACAATCTTTTGTAATCTCTGGTCATAGACTGTCCTCTCGGGTAGTGGGGAGACTAAGAGTGATTTGATTCTAGCCTTTAGATTTAACCTGGTAAATTTTCTCAAGAGAAGGAAGAGGAGTTGGAAACCAAGCAATTCAGGAGTAATAGGGAAAAGTCTGTATCCCCTTGAGGATATGGTGATAATCAAGTCATTTTGTTATTAGCATCAGGAAGAGATGTCACTTCCCCATTTCCAGATTGAGATAACTCATGCCTTCCTGGTTCCTGATGGTGGGGTCCTGGGTAGCATGAACAATCATCCCAGGACCTAGGCTTTTCAGTGCTAACATTCTTGGGCAGACAGGAAAGAGTTGGTCACTCTAGGGCTTTGTGAAAATTAAGATAGCATCTAACCTACATCGGGAAGTCAACAAAGGCTGGATATGTACCTAAGGCATAGTTAAGTACCAAATGAATGATTTAAAACAAACATACAAACATAAAGTGTTATGGGCATTTAAAGAAAAGAATCAAGAGTTCTAGCGTTTAGACAAATTTCAGTCAATAAAATTTACCTGAAGTTTAGAGGATGTCCTAAATTTCAGAAAAGCCCAGAGTCAATAGGAGAGCATTTGGAGTAGAAATTGTCTCCTGGCGGTAGGAACACACTAGCTCCTTTAACTCATCATCTGTGAGACTTGTGTGAAAAAGTAGTAGAAGAAAAGCCACACAGTTCTTGTGACTAGGCAGTCATGCCTTGCATTTAAAGAGGGTATAATGTTTATTCTTTTATTGTGTTTGCTTGCATTGCTGGTCTTGGGTAAGCTTTGTGTTTTGTTTTTTTCAGGTGTTGAAATAAATGAGATTGTGATACATGTGGTTAACTTATTCAGTAGTTACACTTTCATAAGGTGGTGGTTTCATGGCATTTTGGTAAGCCTTTTAAAACTAAATGTTGTGGGGTTTTCCCCCCAGATGAAAAAGAGAGGTTTGACCCTACTCAGTTTCAAGACTGTATTATTCAAGGCTTAACTGAAACTGGTACTGATTTGGAAGCAGTAGCAAAGTTTCTTGATGCTTCTGGAGCAAAACTTGATTACCGCCGATATGCAGAAACACTCTTTGACATTCTGGTGGCTGGCGGAATGCTGGGTAAGTGTCTGGGTTTTGTGGGAAGTGTGAGGTATTTAAAGATTATGTGGAATCCAGAACATGAACTATTTGACAAACCTGTCAAATTGGGGTGGCTTTGTTTTTGGCTTTTTTTTTTTTTACCTTCTTAGGATTTTTCCATCCCCCTCTGTGTACGCACCCCCCCCCCCATAGCAGTTTAGCAGATTATCTTGCTCTGTCTAGCTTTATAGTTGAAATCTGTTACAAAACCATAATATTTAGGAATGACTTTTCTGATATGCACATCCCTACTACATCCCCAATCAGTAATTTTTCCAACCTGTGTTTGAACACTCTCCATTAATGGTGAAACCCTTACCTCTTTTTTTTTCCCCCCTTGGTGAGAAAGAACATGAGCTGGAGGAGGCAGAGGGAAAGAGAAATTTTTTTTTTTTTTTTTTTTTTTTTTTTCATAAAGAATAACTAAGACACTTTACAGTTTTTTTTTTTAATGTTTATTTACCTTTGGGGGGAGGGGGTGTAGAGAGAGAATGAGAGAGAGAATTCCAAACAGGCTCTGCACTGTCAGCACAGAGCCCAGTGCCGGGCTCAAACTCATGAACTATGAGATCATGGCCTGAGCCAAAATCAAGAGTTGGATACTTAACCGACTGAGCTACACAGGCACCCCGGGAGAAAGAAACTCTTAAGCGGGGTTCAGTCTCACAACTGTGAGATCATGGCTTAAGCCAGAATCAGAAGTTGGGCTCTTAACTGAGCCACCAGATGCCCTGTTTTTAATGTTACTAGAAGATATAAAAATACAGCATGTGGCTCACATGTTTCTGTTGCACAGCACTGCTCTAACTTCCTCCACCCTTACCGGCTTAGGATATTTTAAAAGAATGTGCCATTCAGTTAAATATCTCCAAATGATAATAATAATCTCATTTCCATAGCTCTTTAAGATATTTGAAAATGTTTTCACAGTGATATATTGACACTCAGAGCCAAGCTGGTAAAATCAGAACTCTCTTTGTCAGAATTGAGGCTTAGAAAGGCTTCAGTGACTTACATGCAGTCAAATAATTACTTGGTGGGACCAAGGAACTTAACACTCATATTTTTTAATAACTAGTCAGATGAGTATATCTTCCATTATATTACCAGTTTGTAGTAAGAAATACCTATTTTCTGTTTACAATATTAGCACTAAGTCTGCTTTTAAAATCGTTTTTAAAACCTTTACTAAGGAAATTTTCAAATATATCCTAGAGAGACTAGTAAAATGAACTTCTGGTCTACTGCCCAAATTAATTGTTAATAGTCTTACTCTGGCTATGTTCCCCCTGACGTCACTGCTCTCCTCCATATTTCAAAGTGTATATCAGACATCACTTTATCCATAAATACTTATAAATGTGTATAAAAGATAGTCTCTAACTTGTGGTTTGTGGTCCAGCCTCTTAGGAAGCTTGAAAGGTTGTTTTCTGTATGGAATGTTAATGATATCAAAAACAACTTAGAGCATCTGCACTTGAATGACAGATTTAGCACTGTTGAATGGTTAGTGCAGTGAGTTTAACTGGGTTGTTGAAGAGGGTTGTTCTCTTAAATTGTTTCACTTAATTCACATATATTGAACCAACCAGCCAAGTTCCTTTTTGAGATATTGACTGTTTTCAGATCATCTTTTAGAACTTTTATCATTTTATTTTATAATGAGAATCCTTCCAGAAAGTAAGATTGAAACAATTACTAATTTTAAATGAAGTTCACTGCGAATTTTTTGTAAAATATACATACCTTAGCCCCAGGTGGTACACTGGCAGATGACATGATGCGTACAGATGTCTGTGTGTTCGCAGCACAAGAAGACCTAGAGACCATGCAAGCATTTGCTCAGGTAAATGAAACTTTACATATTTATTTCGGTTAGCTATTACCTGTCTGAATAGGAGTAGTCTGTGTTTAAGAGATTGCAAATAGAAAATTGAAGAAATTGAACTGAAAGTTTAGAGATGCTTTTTGGTGTGTTTTCTTGTGTGTTTGTTTTATTTTTTTAATGTTTGTTTATTTTTGAGAAAGAAAGAGAGTGGGAGCAGGGGAGGGGCAGAGAGAAAGAGAGGGAGAGAGCCATAGGATCCGGAGCAGGTTCCAGGCAGAGCTGTCAGCACA